CGCCCCGTTGCAGATGCCGCCTCCCTCCGGTCAGTGGCCGCGGCTGTTCCGACGGGGAAGCGCCCCTGCCGCTCCCACGGCCCCTCCGGCTCAGGCGGGAGCAGCCGCGCGTCTTGGCCCGCCAGCAGCCCCGGGTCACCGACCGAGGAGGGGGCTGAAGCGCCGAGGGAGCTTCGCTGGCTCATTTCCTGCAACTGGCATCGCCGCGGGAGGCTGGTGGCCGCTTCCATGCCACCAAGAATGTGGTGCCCCCCCCCCAGTCATCTTTCCTTTCTCTCTCTCTCTCTCTCGTGCTGGGCACAAAGGGAGGACGCAGAGGTGTGCCAGGTACGCCCCTCGAAAAGGTGAGTGGAACAAAGAAGGGGGAGGACCTGGAGGGACATGTGCGGGGAGAGAGTGTTTGTGTGTGTGTGGCAGGGACGGGGCCGCCCTAATCCCCGGTTCCCCCCCCCCCGTTGTGGCCATCAGCCACGTCCTCCCTTTCGGCTGATTTGATGCGGCACTGGAAACCTGGGGTGCCTGGCCCTGCCTTCCACCACCACCCCCAGTGTCAGGTGAGGCACCCCCACCCCAGGGCTTCACTCTGGGCAGTGGGGGGGGGGCGATTCCACCTGGTCTCTCCTTACAGCCAAGTTCGTTCTTCCCTACAGGCTTGTCGGGACGCCCAGCTAGTCTGTGAAACAACGGCTGTCTCTCACACCCCCATTTTTGCAGAAGCCCACCCCCACCCAAATCAGCTGATAAGATGGAGGTGTTACCAGCCGGGACTCTGCCTGTTTGGGAGGAAGGGGTCTCTGTTTGCTGCCTTGGCTCTTCCGAAGGTCACAACAGAGACCTGCCGGTTACCCTCGCCCTCGCCCCCAACCCACCTCCCGCCTCGCATTGGCTGCTCCAGCAGGAGATGTCTTTTAGGGAGATTGCTGCCCCTCCCCTGCCCGGTGCCTCCAGTAAGCGGCCCCCCCCCCAATGGCCTTGCGTGTTTTCCATTTGTAACCTTCCACTCAGGGGGTGGGCAGAGCCCTCCTCCTTCCTGAGTTGGTCGGAAGAGTTGGAGCCAGTTACGCAGGTTTAGATTAATGCCGGGCACTTTATGCAGAGCTACCGTTGTTGTTGTTGTTGGTGGTGGGTGGTGGGAGCCTCTGCAGAAGCAAAAGGTAGCAGCCAGGTGGCCAACTGCTGCGTGTTGGGAGCCTCTGCAGAAGCGAAAGGTAGCAGCCAGGTGGCCAACTGCTGCCCCGCATGGTCCTCCCTGCTGAACCCTAGCCAGGGGTGGACGGGCACAGCTTGATGGCTGCCCTCTGGACTCCCTCTAAGGGGCCTTCTTAACCTCTGAAGGCCAACAGCTCTCGGGGTTGGTGAAAGAAGGGAAGCGCTGGTCAAGGAAGGCGTCACCCCATAATTGTGGCCTTCCTGGGGACCCTGCCGACGGGCTGGCAAGGGCTTGGGAAGGGGCTTTTTTGGGGGGGTCCCCTCAAAGGGTGGAAGGCTCCCCCTCTGGGGTCACATCTGCCTTCCTTCCTTCCTCTTGCTTGGTTTTCAGAAAAGGTGTGAAGAGATTAGTGAGGCTTTGAATGGGCTTTTATAGAGCTATTCTTTCTAATCTCCTTAACGGCTTATTAATCCTTTCTCTTCAGTGTCTGGTTCATATTAATGGTATGGTGCACAAAGGGGGTGCTACAGAAATAAGTCAGAATATTCAGAATAGTAGTAATAACTATCATCATCACCATCATCATCAATCCTCCTCCTTACCATCCATGATGTTCTGCTTCTCGGGTCCTCGGGTCCTCTGGGCAGCTGCCTGTGACAGGATGAAGCTCCCCAGGGACTTGCAGGCCACTTATATGGAACTCCAAGGGAGGGAGGGAGGGCTCTCCTTCCTCTTCTGCCTGAGCCCAAACAGGGAGGGGAGGGGAGGAGCAGGTGGGCGGGCAGGTTCATGGGTCACTCCAGGAGCAGCTTTTCTGAAAGGTGGCTGTCTTGGAAGATCCGTCCTTGTGCAAGAGGAGGGCAGAACAGAGTGGCTGGCCCTCCTTCACGCCAGGGAGGCTGATGTGGTGGATGTGGCAAGAGAGTTTCAGTGCAGGGACTCATTCCGAGGAGGAGGAGGGAGGAGGAGGAGGAGGAGGAGGGCCCAACTGGCTCAGTAGGCAAGCAGGTGGATCACCTTCCCCGACAACTCACCAAGGGGCCCAAAATTGCCCTGAGTCTCTGTGGAGCCCCAAGAGAGTGCAAGGGAAATGGTGGCAACAGCCTTTAAAGAGAGCTCAGTGGAGGCAATCCCCCCCCCCGCCGCCGCCCCGTGGCTGGCAGGGCTTGGAAAAAAGCTTGGCTGGGCAAAAAAGGCTCCAGGAGCAGGATGCCAGGCTGTCCTGCCATCGCGTCCCAGGGGTTGCTGTCACTGCTGGGGCTGCCAGGGCGGAGCGGCTTCTCAGGCAGCACAAGTCGGGGGTTTCCTTGAGCCTTTGGTCATGGCGGCCAAGGAGACGGAAGGGAGGTGCCCCTTCTGGCAAAGGGTGGGGCGCCCGCAGTCCAGTGTTTTGTCCAAGCCGTGGGCGCGTTGGGGTCAAGGGAAGGCCTTCCCTTGAAAGGAAGGGGCACGAGGAAGGGCCTTAGGGCAGTGGCCATGCCCGGGCCCCAGAGGAGCTGGGAAGGCCAGGTGGGCAAAGGACTCACCATTCGTCCCAACCAGCTGTGCTGAGCCCCCCCGGCGTCCCTGACCGGCCCTTTGCTGGACTCACCAGCAACCTTCTGAAGCTCAGCCGCTTGCTTTGCAGACGTCCCCGGGGGCGGGGGGGGCGGGGGAGAGGCCTCCTGGCCCAGCTGGGAAGGCGTCCGCTCCCTCTCTCGAGCTGAGGGCCTTGGGCACCACCCAGAGGGGGGAAGGCCTGTTCTCCCACTCCCTCCACCAGGCCCTAGGGACACCCTTCTCGCTCTCTCTCTCTCTCTCTCTCTCTCTGGCAAGCACACTTGGGCCACCACCCTCTCTAAAGAGCAGGTCCTACAAGCGGACCATCGAGGCAACAGCAGCTCCTCTTGGTCCCCATCCGAGACCATCGCATGGAAAACAGTCACGTCGCTTGTTTGGTGCTGGCTATTCCTACGAAAGCCTGAGCCCCCTTGGAGCCACATTTTGTCCATTTTCTCCGCATTGGGGAAAAGACAGGGGAGGAGGGGACAGGTGGGCACCTCTGAGCATGTGCATCTCACGTGGCCAGTTTGTGGACTGTACCCATGATGCACCACTTGCCTCCTTCAAGGAGAACGGTGAGCTACCAAGAAAGCCTCCCTTAGCCTAAGCCAAAGGTTCTTCCCTGCCCCCCCCGACCCGCCTTTCCTCACCCCCAACATGGATTCCGGACTTTCTTTCATCAGCCCTTGCTTTTGCACGTGGCGTACATGCCACGCTCTTCTGCCCTCTGCAGCTTCTTTCAAGATGTTTTCGTGCCTGGCACAGCTTTTTCCCCTTTTTGCGGGATTGCTCCACAGGCTTGAGCCAGGCCTGAGAGGAAGAGGTCAGGGAGGGCTCTTCTTGCTCACGCTTCCTTCGGCCTGGCTGGCCTCCAGGCTGCTCTCCTGGGCGGCTGCCTCCGTCCTTCTGAGTGGCTCGAGAGGCCAAAGGGAACTGGGTGTCACGCAGGCGTCACACCCTCACCTGCAGCTGTTCGTGACCGAAACGTCCTGACCAGGAAATCTGGATCCTTCGGGTTTCACATGCGCACAGGCAAGAGAGCGCCTGGGGACAGGCAGTGTGGAAACAATCCCCCTCTGCAGCGGCGGCAGCAGCAGCAGCAGCAGCAGGGTGCCTTCAGCAGCGCTTCGGAGGGAGGGGTCAGGGACAGCAGGCGCTCTGCCGAGAGGGTGGTGCATGCCTCTTGCCCCCAGGCATCACCCGCAGCCCCATGGGGAAACCTGTCTGGACTGGCCGACCTCTGCCCGGATCGGCCGCGCCGTGCCCGTGGTGGGAGAGGCGCTTGGAGCCCTGGTGCCGTCTGGCCTTGGTTGCTGCACCCGCGAGCTACCAGCAAAGCAAAGTGCCCTGCTTATATTCTGCCCCGTATGGATTAAAACACTTCCTGGGTGGTTTACAGACGGAGGCTACATATCCTCCTCACACACGCCCCATGAGCTGGGTACTCCTTTTGCCCACCTTGGAAGGATGGAAGGCTGCGTTGACCTTGAGCCGGCGACCTGAACCTCTTGGGACGGAACTCAGGTGGTGAGCACAGTCTTGGCTGCAGTCGCGGCACGAGGCGGCTGGGCGGAGCAGGGCAGAGGGCCGTGCTGCCCCTTTCCCCCTGGGTTAGAGGGGCTGTTGCCCGGCACGGCTCCAAAGCCACCTGCTGTGGGTGCTGGCCTGCAGCTGCCCTTCTAGAATGAGGAGGGGCCTCTGTGAGTCTGGAAGACTTGGTGCCAGGGGAGGAAGGACAGGCCCCGTCCTTCCAGTGCTCCTTGGCCCTCCTCCTTGCTGGCAAGTTGCTTTTCATTTTGTGCCTTGCTGACTGTGAGCAGAGCTCTCTCTCTCTCTCTCTCTCTCTCTCTCTCTCTCTCTTCGTGTCTGAAAAAGTAGAACGTGGCTAGAGGGGGAATGTGCCTTAAATAACCTGGCATTCCCCCCTCACTCTTTAGAGCTCTTGAGAGATCTACAAGGTGATGGTACCAGGACTTTTGTATAGGATGCCTTCTTCCCCTCCATTTGGTCCACAGGATGCACGGCTGTGTTTCTCCACTTCTGTGTGGCTCGTGACTCAACCACAGAGGGTTAGGAAATGCAGGAGCAACAGGGCTGTGGAGTGAGCAAGAGCTGGGCAGGAAGAGCTGGAGCAATGCTGAGGTCTTGGCTAACTTGAGGATACTCCTCTCCCCTTCTTCCGTTGAGAGGGGTGGGGAGGGGAGGCTGGCCGGCCGGCCCGGGATTTTACTCATAGGCTCAGGATTTTACTCACAGAGATTGAACTGAACGACCCTGTGAATCCATCTGTGTGTGCTGATGACTTTGACAGGATATCTAATATCAATGTGGTTTCCTTTTTAATTGCGAAGCCCTTGTCAGAAAGCTTGTCTTTTTAGAAAAGAAAAGGACCAGAGGGTTGGTGGATCTTCCCATCCCGCTTTCTCCACCAATGCACAGAAGCTACTCTCCTTGGCAGCTGGGAGACCCCTCCTGATTCACCAGGTGAATCTCTCCTGGGGAGATCACAGCACTCAGTGGGGAATACATTTTCTGGTGTACACTCATGGGCAGTGTTGTGCCTTTGCGCTCCCGTTGCAGGGGGCCATGAGCAGAACGGGGGGGGGGGCGGTTGCAGCCACATCCTGCTTGGGAGTTTTCCTCCTGGTCCATCAGGGAGGCAATGCTGGACCTTGGTCGGTTCCAGCTCTCAGGAGTCTTTCTCATCAAGGCAAAATGCAGGCTTGGCTTCCAAGCAGACAAGCGTCTCATTCACATGCAAATGGCCACTTTGCATCCCTGAAGCTGTACTATGTGCACTCAGCATGAGACAAGAAAGGTAGCACTGCAGGCTATGGGTCTGATCCTCAGAGCTGGGGAAGGGGGGGGGCTCCTGGGATAGGGCTACCATGCAGTCAACAGAAGGTAGAGTTTGAACCCTATGCTTTGTTGCAGTGAAACAGGGACTGCAGGAGGAGGGCTGGGCAGGGGGGCCTTGGTCCTCTGGTGGGTTCAGCGAGAGCTTCTCCACTGAAGGCAGGGTAAGGCTAGGTAGCTGGCGGTGGCAGTGGCCTTGGGAGACACTTGGGAAGGGAGTGAGCATCTCTTCTTTCTTGTTGTGCCATCTGCGCTCCCCGAGAAAAGTCACGACTCAAGATCCGCCATCATAGCAGGGCTTCCACTGCAAGAACCTGCCTTTTCCCGTGGGATCCGCCCTGTGGCCCCTTTGCCTTCGCCCTCTCCAGCAGCTATGGATCCTCTGGGTTTTTAGGCAGAATTCTCTCCCGGCTCCATATGGAGATGGGGGGGGGGAGACAACAGAAACAACTGTTTTGCTAGCCTTCCAGGGTCAAGGCTCTCAGGTGGACTTCTCTCAATAGGCTAGAATTCTGCTCTCGGCATCCCAAATTTATCCAGATCAGGGTACAACAGAGATGAAAGGAATATGTTTGAAAGCAGCAGTCAAGGCTGCAGGAAGGAGGCATCTCCCATGACAGTAATAATCATCATCATCATCATCATCATCATCATCACCACATGCTATCAAGTCAGTCTGACTTACAGTAACCCTCTTCAGGGTTTTCCAGGTAGAGAAGACTCAAAGGTGGTTTGCCCTTTCCTTCTTCTGGGAGGGATCCCTGGGACGACTGCGCAGCTTGCCCAAGGCCACCCAGGCTGGCTCTTCTCTCCGGAAGCACAGTGAGGAATCGAACTCCCAACCTCTGGATCTACAGCCAGAGCTTTAAACCACTGAGCTCTCCAAGCCAGCAAAGAGAACTAAAGTGAGTTGGAACAAGTTATTTTCAACCCACAGACTGTGAGATATTTTACTCTGTAAATAACTGATAAAAATACAGTGTCTCTAATACTGAGGCAAGACATGGCACAAACAGATATGTAGCGGGTATAACAGATGAAAACTGATTAACAGAGTTGTCATTAAAGTCTGTCATGCTGAAGCACGCCTTTGGAACTACAACAGAAGGTGTCTATCTCCGGACTAGATCAGACGGAAAGCTTTTTAATCTATCTAGATTGAGAGCAACGACCAAGGGCCAGCTGAAATGCATGCGGGACTTCCTCTTCACCAATGATGCAGCCATTGTTGCCCACTCTGCTGAAGACCTCCAGCAACTCATGAATCATTTTAGCAAGGCCTGCCAAGACTTTGGACTAGCAATCAGCCTG